AACTTTCTCCAGAGCCTGTCTTGAAGGCGTCCGTACGAACGTTCACGTAAATGGACCGCATGTGGGGAGCATTGACCTTTCCACTGGAGTTGGAGATACCCCCTTTCTCTCAACTCTTGATTGTGCAGCAAGGGCTCCACGCTTAGACCGCTTCCGATTCTCTCGTTCGCAATGCGTGGGTTTGTGCGCCCTCTCAACCGTCATGCTCTACCGCCTATTCTCTCTTCTCTGCCCTCAGTGAACCTTATTCTGCACAACTGAATTACAAAAATGAGCTCCTCATTCTAGCATTTTCGACGATTGCTGGTTTTCCTTTTCCTTCACTACCGGGCCGCTTCCCACCCTACTTTCATTTTCATGAACAAAAATTGCACGAATTTGATCCGGGGTGCCTGCAAGGTTGACGACGAGGGCATACCCAATTTCAACTCGGCGCTGAATCATTCTAAATATATAGTCAAAACAATACGTAACCTGGCTTGGATGTTATCATAACCACTAACTAAGCTCACCATTACTTGATCATAATATTCTGTTTCATTCAGGAAGTGTAATGATGGGTGTACAAAAATACGAATAAGTCATGCAGATGTTTATCAAAATGAAAAATTAAAAGATCACAAGTTATGAATAGAAACGTAAATTGAGCATCCTATGGGAACACGGGGTACTTTGCGATGATTTAAGATGAGGTCCATTTTGGTGATCGTTTCTCAGCGAATGCACTCATGCCTTCTTTACGGTCTTTCTGTAATGGATCAAAATTTCCAACTCCACCTACAAATGACGACAACAAAGGACAGCTTACAGTTGCGAAGGTGGTGTGGAATAGCCGCCGCTCGATTCGAAGGCCTTCATTCAATGTTGTTTCATAGGCGGCGTTGACAGCTTCCTAGAATGAGGTGTATCACGAAAAGAGGTGTACTCATAAGCAGGGTGAATAGCGGTCAGGATATTCTAAACCCTTGGCTCTGTACTGTGTGAGAGTAGGGTCGATAGTAATGTACGCGCGGAGAGTTCAGATGGCTCGCGCGTGGGGAGAGTGAATGTTTGCGCGGAAGTGCGTGACTCAACAGGTGAAAAGGTTCGATGAACCGTCGACAAATCCTCGACCGATTTTCTGACTGCTTATTAAGCTCATTTGCCATAAGGGTTGCTTGTCTCAAAATCAGATTGACAACTGAATAGAGCCAACCAAAACATTTTACTCAGGTTCAATTATAATTTGCGTCAGTAACAAAACTGTAAGTAGGCAAGGGCAAAGGGTAGCTGCTGCGCAATGCATGCATGTTTTTCCTACGGTACTCACCACTCCTAAAAAAATTTCGGCTTTATTATCATGCACTGAGCGCTACGGGACAATGCAGGGACAGTCTGCAGGGGAACTATGTCGAGTGGCGAAAGAGATCGTAGCTAGTTTAATCTCAGATTGTAGCCTTACCCGGAGAGCCTTTGTCGGATACGAATGCTGGCCGTCCCTGTTGTGAGCTAAAGCACTTTTTGTTTCTATGGCTGAGAGCGACCAGTCGGAGGGTTTCGCCGGGAATGCTTTCCTGTCAAGTCTCGGCAAGTTTGCCCTTGAGAACAGGGTCGACCTCGCCCAAGCAATCGAAAACTTCGATCTTTGCAGAATTTTGCTCATAACTATCACTCCTGCCTAGCAGAGTTGAATAATCACTGATTATTTGGCACTCCAAGTCAAAACACCAAACCCGCAAAAATAGGCCCCACGAACTGTTAATGAAAACGAATACGTGCGCTTCTTGGTAAAAGTTGAGTGAACCACGCGCTCCATAATTCCTGTGATAAAGCGCTTCCGTATTTGTAGCCTTCTGCCAATTCCTAACCATTCATGAGATATTCTCAGTAAAAGCGCATCCTCAGGGGATGGACAGGGGCGTCAAGCCTCTGCAATTGGTGCGAGCTTTCTTAGGACATCCACATAAACGGCAATTTGGACATTTTCACCATTCAGATTATATTCCCTACGGAATTTATTTATTGATATTTAGCATCTGATCATTTATATTGTAATTTCATAATTCCTGTCTTTCTACTTTTTTCTACTATTGCTATTGTAGAATTCCTCGTCAACCTTTTCTCATACATATTCCTGGCTGTGTTTATAAATATTTAACAATAAGTGATACTTCGCAGTTTTAATTGATCAACATTTACTATTAGTCGTGTTAATTTTCGGCACTACCACCTACTGCGACGCATAATCTTAGTTCCACCTACAAATTTCCCAAAAACTAGAATTTGGAGATGTTTTTGAAAAGGGCTCTACAGACAAATTGTGACACATGCAAATGCGAATCTGAATATTATCACGGAAATCCAGTTTGAGAAAGCAAAATTTTTTCCTCATTTTTTCGAAAATACCCGACTTGCCTATGACGCAAAATCATAGTTCCACCTCATGTTCGATAATTATCGTATAGCAGTGTGTAGAGAGTCACAGAAGCCTTACCTTGTAGCTCACTGGACATGAGATCATGCCCCAGGAGGGAGAGAATCCGACTAGTTTGGCTACCTGACAAGAGGCTCATCACGCGGCGAGAAGGCAGAGAGGCAGAAGGGTCAGCGGACGAGTCGCCGCGTGCATTGTGAGATGGGCTTACTACTATTGCAATTCAACTTGACGGTGAATCGCCATAGTTCGAGCTGCGAGTCGCCCGCTGACCTCCAGTCGCGTTCTCGCTGCGTGACGGTCCCTGTCGGGTACCCGTCCAGTTTCATACACATACCTTGGCCATTTGTACGATGAGAGGTGATTGTTCTGCAATCTTCTCACCAAGCTTTACTGCTTCATCCACCACTTGTTCAGCTGGATACACCTAAATTATGGAAGAAATTTGAGTAGCTAGTCCACTTTACAGAATTGTGCTCACTCTTAGATGCACAGGTGGCCTAAAATATAACAAAAAGTCAGGATCACCTTTGAAACTATTCCGCATTCCTTCGCCTCTTGAGCGCTTACTCGGTTACCTGTCAAGCAAACCTCCATTGCCATGGATTTTCCCGCAACACGAGCCCATCGCTGGGTTCCACCAGCTCCTTAAAATGGACATATTGTCGCTCTGCAAACTTCATCGCAACAACTACATCTTGTGGATTTATTTACGTATTTTTGTATTTACTTTGCACTTATATGTATTTGTGTATTTGTCCTGTATCTTAATAGAAGCTGAAACTTTCGGTTACACTTTTCTTATCGTTTTTAGAACTGTAAAGGACTGAACAAATCACATTTGTACTTATGTCGCAGAATAAGTCAAACCTAAGAAAAAATAAAGCCTCGCACACCCACCTGGAATTGTGCCAATGTTAACCTCCGGCTGTCCAAACTGTGCTTTATCGCCGGCGTAGATTATGTCACACATCATGGCCAACTCACATCCACCGCCAAGAGCATACCTAATGAATGCAGATAGACTAGAAAAACGTGGATATTTGTGCCCCTGTCGCCCAGGATTGTTCGAACATTCGTATATTAAGCCACTCTGAAACTCAGAGCTAGTATCAGGTGTATAGGTCAGGAGTCAAAGCACAATTCAATTTCTGGGTACTGGTGAAGTCATATCATATGTATGACTCCAATCCTATGAAACACTTTGTCCTCATTGTGTTTCACCGCCCGACACCCAGCAATAGTAAAGGCCACACCACGACTAACACACCCTAAAAATCTCATCCCCTGAGTGGAAGGTGGCTTGCGATCGGGTAACCGATTCTCAAGCCCAGTCGTAGAGCGGGGTTTCAACTGACTGAAAGCTCCTAGCGTACGAGAGAGCGAGCGATAACGCGTTCAGAGAAATCCTTGATCATCGGCGGATTGTTGTGGGTAATAGAGTTCAAAGTGAATGTACGCGAGGGAGCACAGATGACTCCGCGTAGGCAGAAGATGTGATTGTGACCGCGCGGAGAGCAGACGAACATGTTCGCGAACATCTCGGCGAGTCGTCGGACGAGTACCTCGCACTGTGTGCTTTGATAAAAAAAACCGGTCTGGTCAAGCTTTTTCAGGCTTCCACGCTGCCGATAAATCGGGAAGGCTAGCTAGGGACATGGTTGGGAGCTTAGTTTGCTTTTTACTGGCACACTAATTCTGTAGTTTGTGCCTTTCCTTTCATCTAAACGCGCCGGATTTCACCGTGAACTGTGCCTTTAAGCTAAAAGTTTAGAGGAGCGCGGAGGTTATTGGAAAAAGCTCAGTTTCAAAATCGGACCCGTCATTTTGGGTTACAAAGCCTTGGACGTCGACAACATCGGCTAGCTTCACAAGATCTAGTAATGAAAAGAAGCCAATTTTTTTTATTAAGATCTTCAAATCCATCGCTCAAATTCCAAAATCTCCGTCATAACAAGCAAAAAAAAGGAGAAAAGGGGACACTGAATCCTTTAGTAGGCTTCTGAAACCTTCTTGTGTCATCGAGATGTGTTGAAAGGAAAGACAGAAATTTATGACCCTTCTGAGAGAGCATTCCGAGAATGAGCTCACCCGTTGACTGCCGCAATGACGGGTTTGGCCGTCTCGCTCACAGCCGTCCATTCCTCAAGGAAACGACCTTGATACGTCGTTGCAAACTCCCGGTTAACCATTTCCTTGATATCTGCTCCCGCTGTAAAATAAATAATTTATTTCGAGTTGTTTCACAAAATGATGAGCTGTATGTAGTATCGACGGAGAAGGCTGAAACTGAATTACTCACCAGCAAAAGCTTTCTGATTTCCTGGGAAGGACGATAGAGCACACTGAGCTGTCAGAATCAATTCTCGCAATGATGTAGACAGCTAAATCATTACTACCATATATAACAATCGCAGAAAAGCTACAGCAGCTGCCGGTGACTTTTTTTGTGTGCGCGATTGAAAATCTGCCACATTCCTTTTTTTTAGGTACAGATGCAAGTAAAATTCCGCGGCGCACTCCCAGCGAATGCTCTGTGCGGACATTTTTTTTGCCCTGATTTTCTTGAACTTTTCTCGAATTCCCTTTGCTACGAAGCTCAATAGAACAAATAAATATTTCGAAATAAAATAGGAAACTTATATCTGTTCTGTTTTACTTTGAAATGTGTATGTGTTCTGTTGATTGGTCGAATAAGTTTTATTTTGAATGGGTTTCAGCTGAAGGCTGGGTGACCAATAGCTTGTCACTAAGCCCTCCCTCCTGTACCCAACCAGCACCCGTAGCACGAAATAAATCGAACACTTTCGCCAGAAATTCGCCAAACAGGGAGGTTTACACAACGGTCAAAACAAGAGAAACCCGTAAAGATCCAAAAAACCGCTCAACCTAAATTGCAGTCATGCAAACACGATAATCGAGTCGAGTGATCGTATTCCACCATTTCGATGAGCGGACTATCCAAGAGCACCAGGGACTCCTTCCCCTATTCGATCTCTCCTCACTCCACCCCCTATCATGGATTTACTACCTTGAACGAAGCTCGGTGGAAACTACAGATTAACAGGATTAAGCATTCAGTGATCGAACTCTTTTTAGATTGCGCCATACATCCTACTTCCTTTCGAAATTGTGGTGGCAACATTTTAAGAGCGAGTGGGCCGATATGCAGATTAGGACATTTGACCCCATACCCCCCCCCATCACAACGAGTCAGTACCATAAGGCCGCTCAGAGCATGATGGTCTAGGCTGGGCTAAATGAGATCGATCGAGACTTCAAACCGCGGGCCGTGACGGCAGGTAAGTGCACTTACTTGCCAACAAACCAATCACCTTCTCCAAGTGACTAGATGGCGTAACAGTTGCGGAAAATGCTACCGTCGGACATCAGCTGGTTTACATAAAGCGTGAATGCGTTTATTACGGATTCAACGTTATGAGAGCAACATTCTTCTTGGCACCAACTTTTTCGACTTTGATCATTTCGGGAGCTGCAATGAATCAAAAATCGATACAGAGTACATGGTCACGGCAAAGAAGGAGGTGATGGGTACCAGAAGCCATGACGCAGCGTTTGGATCACGGTTCAATGCGGTAGGGGCACCACAACGCCAGGCAGAGATATGGAACAATCGAAGCATGGATGGAACGCATCCGAACAAGTCGCACACATTGTGCCGCCCACTCCGGATAACGATGGCGAAACGTCGCGAGAGGCAAGAAGAGACGATCAATGTAAACGCAGTGGGAAAAAACGCTCTGCTGAAAATGCTCCAGACAGATAGGTCAGTTACTTTCAATTGTTAAGCGGGACGCGAGAACGAGGTACGCCATAAAATGCCAAAGGTGGAAGGGTGCGGCGGACAACAGTCCCACAGAAAAATAGAAATGCAATCAAAAGTAAGTCCCAGAAAAAATCGTCGGAAGACAGAGCTCGGCGCAGGAGCTGAGGGATTAGGTTTGCGACTTCCCCCAAGGGCGGAAGTGGTGTAGTGACAAGTGGCGCGCTCACCACGCGAGCGGTCCGGGATCAAATCCTGGGTCGTGAGTCGCCCGGGCCAACCAAGCCTTCCATCCCTCCGGGGTCGGTTAATTGGTACCAGACTTGTCTGGGAGGATAAAAACACTGACTTGAACATCGGCTGGCCCCGCAAGTCATTGTATAGGCCACATCGCATTCAAACGCCACTGCGAATGTACAAATGGAAGTAGAATGCGTGCCGCATCCCAAAAAGGGATTGATCAACGGCAAATGCTTTATCCTTTTATCCTCTGCGAGGGTAAGGTTCAGCTTCAATTCTTAGGATTAGTTGACGTGAGGAGAGATCAATGAGATCGACCCATATAATAGAGGTAGGATTTGGCGCCATAATTAACACGTTCACGTTGCGAATGTTACGGGCCACTCCTCCCAATGCATTTAAGAGAGACAGATTATATAGATATGGAGTAGAATAACATGACAAGGAGCTAGAGAAAGAAAATCGAGCTTCTCTTTTACAGGGTCACAATTAGCGTTCATGTGCAATCCTACGTACACCTTCCCTTTTAATCCATAAGAGAGACGGGTACAAACAGTTCAGGGTGAGGGTATAAAGAGACAAAGGATAGTACAAATGAAAAATCCGAAGCTTCTGTTAGAGAAGTTCGGGCTTATAATGAGTCAACGACCTAACCTGCAAATTCTAATCCATTGGCTTAGAAATTCTGTGGTGAAAAATAGTCTACGCGAAAAAGAAGTTTTAAGAATAACTCCGGGTACGATTTGAGCAGCAGTACGAAATGCTCTACAGCACGAATGGTAAGCGACAAAGAGCGATTTTTGAAGCGTACTGCGAAATGCTGTAAATTAATAGCGGCGTAAGTTACGGTAAACGACTCCAAGCTAAGCGAAGAGAGTGGATAGGGTGACTACGATTTAGCTACAGCAGGTGAAAAACCCACTTGATGCCACTGATATAATCAATCTTTCTGCGATGCAGTTTAATCAATCAATCTTTTACGATTTTAGCCTGAGCAATGTTGGGAGAGGTCAAGCCAATGAAAAACCAAGTATTTTTATGTTCATGCTCCCAATTAGCACCAGGAGAGTTAACAAGTTCAGCCACTGTGTTATGTACAACACAATTTGAAGTCAGCACCACCTTCTCTCCAATAACCCACCCCCTCTCCCGCGTTGAGAAACTCTGAGTCCGCTAAGGCTAAATCCAAAAGTGTGAAAGGATAAAGGTTCCGACTTGCAACAATCCCTTTCTGGGACGCGCCATGGATGCTACTTTCCTCCGGAATCGTGCTGGAATTCTATGTGCGATTTGTTCTGAGCAAGACTTACGGGATTAGTCGATGTACCTATCACTGTTTTTATTCTCCCCAGCAAGTCTGGTACCATTTGAGCAACCCAGGAGGTAAGGAAGCCTTGGTGTGCCTGAGCAGTATCCGATCCGAGATTAGTCCCATGGAAAAGCCACTTGTCACTACATCACCCCTGATCGGAAGGTCAAGTACAGTGTGTCCCAAAAGTATAGGGACACCCTATTTTTCTTCAGTATCTCTGTTATAAACAAATGATTTCTCTCCAAATTTTTATCAACAATGCACTTTTACACCAGGGTACAAATATATAAGTGAAATTGGAAAGAAAAAATTTTGAAGATTTTTTATGATTTTTTTTCTAAAATCATGGCGTCCCAAAAGTATAGGGACACTCGGTTCTTCTGCAGTGTTTCTGACTTAGGTGAGTTGTGAAACCAATTTGTCACTGCTCTACTTCCCACACTTGTTCTACAGTGCCATGCCACGAGGAATGCACCTACACGACTTTGAGAAAGGCCAAATTCGGGTTACAAGGATATGGGACTCAGCC